CCGATACACGTGTTCGCTTATTTTATACCTACAATTGGTAAAAAAAGTTTGAAGCGATTTAAAAATGTCGAAAAAAAAAGTGTTCGGTTTGTAAAAGAATGCCCCATATATAAAATGAAAGCAAAGACTCCACCTAATCAAACTAAAAAAAATAATAATAACAGCTGTGGGAGTCAACGCAGTTATTAGTGCGAATATCTTATATTTATTTAGTTTATTACATAAACCTTGATGTGATTTCGACGAGCGCAATACAATAGAAAATTGATGTTTCGACTCCTCTTTGAGTCATCCTCAGAAAGAATACCATAATAACAATTTCTTATTCCGCAATCAATTTCTTCAAGAATTATCTATAATAACAATTTCTTATTCCGCGAGCAATTAATTTCTTTATGTAATACGTGGGTTTCTCAACAGTTGGCAGACTATTGGAACCAATAGTCTGCCAACCGAAAACCGAATACGAATTGGAGAAACACACACATTGTCAATTATAATTATTTCTTATTATTCATCCTACACTCACCATAAGCGCCGCACTCCATTACATAAGTAAAATACTTACATAACAAAAAAAAATTTTTCGCAATAGATAGTCATACTAATAAAATCATGATAACTTTCGAAAATATCCGTGCAATATACGTCTTGACACAACGGTTTCTAAGTGAAGACTGTGAATCTTTGTTTATAATTTGAACTATAATGTCACACACACACACACACGCGCGCGCGCGCATTAAAGTCAAGATATAAAGTCAAAAAACATAATATTTAATCGTTATTGAAAAATGTAAAATACGCAGTCTAACTTTTCTGTATCTATCTGTAAATTTAAACCATTCTGTTGTTGTCTGTATGTGTGTGTGTGTGTGTGTGTGTGTGTGTGTGATTTGCAACATCTCCGATATTAATCGCTTATTAAAAATTTTTTCAGAGTCCAATATTTTCACCTCATTTCATCGGAATTCATGATTGTAACGTGTCCTATGTTCTGTTATAACCGATTGTGATGATGTATTTCTTCTTATATGATTATATCTAATGTTCTGATTATTCTTGTAGTTTCCTACCCGTTTGGCCCACATATGACGCGTCACAATCATTGCAATTTATGCGGTAAACCACGTTTCTCTTTGATGAATCTGGAAGTCTGTCCCCTTATGTGCTCTAATAAATTTATTTAACTTATTAAGATCGAAAAACGACAATTTCATACTTATGTTGTTGATAAATCCTCTAAATTTATTGGAGATATTTTTTACGTATGGTATAGTGAACCAACTAATTTTCGATTTTTTATTATCATTTTTCTGTCGTAAAGATTTCTTATTTATTAGACATCTTAATCGATCATTCATAGCGTCAAAAATAAAATTAATTGGATAGTCATTTTCTAATAAAATTTGAACTATGAATTCCAGTTCTTCTGATGAAACTTAGGGTGCGATAGCAGGAAGGTTCTGTCTACCAATTGGTACCTTTACTTATGTAATGAAGTGCGCTTGTGGTGAATGTAGGATGAATAATAAGAAATAATTGTAATTGACAATGTATTGTGTGTGTTTCTCCAATTCGTATTCGGTTTTCAGTTGATTCCAATAGTCTGCCAACTGTTGAGAAACCCACATATTACGTAAAGAAATTAATTGCGGAATAAGAAATTGTTATTATAGATAATTCTTTCTGAGGATGACTCAAAGAGGATTCGAAACGTCAATTTTCTATTGTATTGCGCTCGTCGAAATCACATCAAGGTTTATGTAATAAATCAAATAAATATATATGATATTCGCACTAACAACTGCGTTGACTCCCACAAACTAATAAAAAATAATAATAATTTCCGTTATTATTATTTTTTATTAGTTTAAGTATATATATATTATATTACATCCCTATACATATATATGTACATATATATATGTATACACGGAGAGAATTTTTTCTTAGAATTTACCCTGAAAATATAACAATCGTGGGACAACATTGTATTTCGAAGAATTTTGATATAAATCTCTCTCATTCATTAATAAAACTACAATAAAGTATAAAATAAGTTTGATCAATTTTACTGAAGTGCATGGTAAAAATCTTTAAAATATTGTATTGTACCACAATCACCATATTTTCAGGGTAAATTTTAAAAGAAAATTCTCTCCGTGTATATGTAATTGTATTTATTTCAGTAAAAATATTTCAACTAATCAATCTATTCTAAAAATATATATGAAATCCGCTACATTCATAGAAATGGATACAATTCCGATTGCTGATGAATTATATTTGTTAGGTAAGTGATCGTTTCTAACCAGTAAACGCCAACTAAAAGTAATATAACATTAATGTTATAATTTCATACTCAACAATACATATAAATGTAATAAAATACGTGAACTGAATAAAGCCCACCTAATTTATTTTTTTTTAATTTTTTATGGGGGTATTAAGGGGATGCTAAACCGATTACCCAACTCAATCAAGGTCGATAGTACAGACTCTTTTAATTCCAAATTCGATAATAGTGGTGACATCTTTGATTTAGTTTTTACATTATATTATATAATATATATCATTCTGTCTTACTCAAACGCATACGTCTGTTCTTATCTAACATATGCCAGCACCATCTATCGCAAGACCGCGCAACTACTGCTACGCGGAATTTCGGCTCTGTTGACAGTCCCAGTCTTCGCAAAGCATCAGTATACACGTATTTTCTATTCGGTGGAAATATTGCTTTTCTAGACTTTCAATCTTAGTTCTACAAACTCAGTATCGTTCGTTTCAATAATGTGACCTCAGCTACACGCTTATTTTCAAGATATGGGCTCTAAAACTCTTATATCAAGCAAATACATATCTGAGGTGACAGCTGTACGAGCCAAAAGTAAGTGAATTTTTAATTTTTTTTCGATTTTCTCATAAAATCCAGTGCAGCTGAGGTCCTGTTGATGCGTACTATAATTTAAGTAATAATACTTTTGCAATCCGTACATCCAATACAGAGATTTTTCACCGAATAGAAATGTGGTAAAACAGGGAGCTTTAGCATCGCCTTAAGATAAACTAGATAAGAATAAAATCGTTATTTTACTCACTTACAAAAATAAAATATGTATTCTATAAAATATCTGTAAATAAACAAAAAAAAATTTTAATTCTGACATTAGACCTTATTATATACATATGAATATAATGCTTGTTACTGCTGATTCTAATTCTCTAGCCCCTTTTTATTTACTTCCTGTGACACATCTTTTAAGCATATCTCTAGGCATAAAGAGCATTTTTAAGTAATTGAAAACTTGAACGTTATTTAGTGCTGGATCTTATTTGGCTTAGGTACCTTATAACACATGTTCTAACAGTTATATTGTTCAATGTGAAGTTATAACATTAATGTTATATTACTTTTACTTAGCGTTTATTGAATACTTGCAATCTGTTTTAATGTCTTAATTAAAAGAAGAGAAAAACTTTTTAGCATCACTGGGCGGCATATTTAGTCTTTTCTTGGGATGCAGCTTCATAAGTGCCTTGGAGATTTTTTACTTCATCATGTTATTTCTTCGTTCTAAATCCAGGTCAAAATAATTGTCGTCGATCAGAAGTTTCACAAATGACGTATTAAACAATTGAATTTATAAATTATGCACCATAATTAGAGAAATTCGATCGCATTTTCATCAAAAGGGTGAATAAGAACACGATTGACATTCTATAGCAACATACACAACATTTTTTGGGACACTGGGTGTGCGGACGCCGCATCGAGCAACTACGAATCTGGAGCGATTAGATCTATTTCGAGCGGTTACTGGAGCGCTGCCGTAACATTTAAGTCCACGCCCGTGAAAATACATATTTACTACGACGAATGTGATACCGTGTGATGCGGGCGATTCTTCGGAACTAAATTGTATAACAAATGATTTATATAAATTGCGAATAATGAAAATCTTTTTTAGGGGCATCGTTTAATCGGTTATGTAACGTGACATGTCAATTTTCGTACTTATACATCTGATTTAATTTGTGTATTTCGTTATTCGCACCTGTTTGCACCTGTCCGTTAATGTTGGCAAAAATATAAGGAACATTTAAAATAACAACGTACAAATATAACAGGATACATTCCGATACGGTCAAATACACATATTTATCGAAATGAAAGAAACATGCAACGATGCGTGATTTATTAGAGACTTCGTATTTGACTTGGCGATTGTACAAAATGTATAAATTCGAGTAAAAAGGTGGGAATAGCGGATACTTCAGACATACGAAAAAAATGGATATTTATATCGTAAAAATCAGTATTTGAAAAGTGTTCAAATACAATAAGCGAGTAATTTGATACTTGAGCATACGGTCTTGGGAGCTTCTGCCTTATGTAATATTTGAAAGCTTTTTGCTAACACAGCCCTAATTGCAGCCCAGCATTGAAATGTGTACTAATCATGTCGTCTATTTTTGCGTACGCTGTCGAAAATACCGATTTAGTTCTACGCGGACATACGGTCAAACTTCGAGAGCTGGAAGCGCCGACTATTTTTGGAGAAACGCCCACATATTGCGGAGCAGCGTCGTTCACATTTCTACAAAGTTCTCTCTGTCTGCATCTCCTAAGGAAATCCATATTTTTCACAATTGCGTCTCTTTTTTTAATCGCAGTCCGTGTTATGCATATCTTGATAGTGACGTAATGACAAATTATTTCCGGTACGATGATAAATAATAGTAAAGTAAACTTTAGCCTGCATTTCGAACGAAAAGATTAATTTTATCGTTTGTAACGTTGTGTTTTTCATTTATACTACAAACATATTTTTAAAGAAACTTTATAATACATTTTTAATATTATAGTTAAAGATAAATGAGATGCATTCGAATTATAAACGAACGCGCGTAAAACAAATTATTATAATATATTTATTTCGGTGACTTTAAATGAACACAACTCAATGACGATGCAAATTATAATTGTAGATATGCGAGAGTAACATAATATAAATATTATTTTTAATTCAGACAATGTATTTGTAGCTAATTATCTGGGAAAATATAATTAATGTAATATCGATAGCCGATTTTCATGACGAAGTGGTAAGAAATTGAAGCAAGACAAGGGACAAACTTTTAAAATTGTTTCTATTACCCGATAAATATATTTTTAAATCATGCGCGTTGCAGAAATCGGTCACTAAACAGTCAAAAATGATTTGTGGAGAACATGTCTTCAGACGCCTAAATTGTAGAAAATATAATAAGTGAGAATTGGCGAGTTTTGAACGAGGTGTCCGTGACGATCTTGGATCCTCTGAATGCATCCGCCTTGCTTTCTTTGTTGTTCAGCCCTAAAAATGTACAAGTTCTATATTTAAAATATTATTAAATGCAATTTGAGTTCACATTATTGTGATCACTTATTGAATAATTTATTATTAATAAAACAACTTTAAAAATAATACCACATCATAAAATATTAAAGTATATAGGATTAAAATGAATCAAGATGGATAATGAAATTCCGCTTACTATTCGGAGATTTCAATGACCAACTTAAACACAAAACCTTCTTAATCTCATAGTCTTATTCTATAACTTCATTTAGCTACGAATAAAAGCTATGAATACATTTAGATAATTCTAAATAAAAAAATATAAAGTTTTTATTTTATGTAATTTTACCAACAATATCGAAATTAAAGTAAAAAAATGCGAAAACATTCGAGACACTTGATGCATATATTTTTCAAATCAAGAATGCATTCATTGATATATGTAACTTACCATGGTGAGGAATGTCTGTTGTGCTTAAAAAAACAATCCCGAGTATAATACCCAAAGCGAGATTAATAGAAAAATAAGGATGAAATACGTCATCAGAAGGTTCTTCGTCTCGTGGCCTGCTGGTGGCATTTTTTGACCGATATGGACAGATCTATATTACGATGTATATATATATATTAAGTCTATTATTCACTTACAGACATAATTATCTAATAAAATTTTTCTTTATTCCTTATAGATAAAGAATCGATCAATCATTTTTTTTCCAATTCACATGAACGTATGTATAGCAATGACAATAACTAACTCTTTCTTTCCACATCGCACCGGTTTAAGATTTATAATTAAATAATGTATAATATTGTAATATTTTTATGAAACTCGCATTACTCGATCTTCATTTAAAGAAGATCTGAGATACTTACGAATGCTTGGATTATCACGAATTAATTGCGAATTATTGCCGTTATAACAATCGGTAATCTATTTTTTATTGTAAACGTTATTACATGAAAACACCTTAAGTTTTTTATTTTCAAGATCACTTAGATCCAGGAATGCGTTCTTCGCCGCTGTACGTACGATCATAGACTGGATCAGGCGATGCAGGATTTGCGCGCTCGGGCCTTGTGATCCCGAAATTCCTCCAGGAACCGCATCACCACCCCCACCTATTATACTTGCGTGTATCGTTTCGCACCTTCCCACCTTCTGCTCCAGGATTGGTAGAAGACAAGATCCCACCATCGGCTAATGTTGCTTGAAGAGCAACGAGTTTCGTTACCTCGAGTTATATTAAGGCATTGTGAATGTTAGACATAACTTCTTGACAAAAACGCCATCAGATCGGTTCCAAATAACCATCGACACACTGTAAGTATTGGCAGGTTCAAGATCGTTACGAAATTAATATGCTCTGGTCCATTAAGCGCGATTGGGAATTGCAAGAGACATCGTACGTATTGTTCTGAAAACTCGTTCGAGTGACTGCCAGAACTGTTGCGCGCGATTAAGATTTCACTCCTTAGTCAATCCGTGCCAATATAGAAGGCCGTCCATCATTTTCGGGCTCTCGTCTAAATTTAACTCGTTTAGCCAAACATCAATCTCGATGAACAATGTATGGACACCTCCGAACTCCAGCTCAGCCATTATGTAATGCATTTACCTTGTGAAAAACACGTACCATACATTAATATTCCTCTAATTTATGAATTAGGCTCTTAATAAAAATCAGAATTCAATAACGAATTTAAACGTAAGTCTATGGAACATATCAGCATCCAAAGATTTAAACAATTTTTTAGATTCACTAAGTCGATTTGTAATTGTAATAGTAATTAATTAAGTTAAATTAATTAATATAATAATTAATAGATTATTAATTGATTAATATTTATTAAGTAATAATTAATTTCATGATAATTCATTAGTCAGTTAACATTAATTATTAATCATGAAAGTCTTAACACAATTTTATTTTTGGATACATAATATACATAATGTTCGCACAATGCAATATACAATTTAATCTATGAAGAAGAGTTAATGTGATTAATAACTACATAATTTTTTATTTCTCTGGAATCTTTTCTACGCTGTACAATGAAGATACAATAATATTTACATAGGCACACAAATATGGCTGCTTGCAAGCAATAACTTTGGACACGATATGACACAACTCACGTTACGAAAATAGGAAAGCGAAACTTTTATTACGGATTAACTCACGACACGGTACACAAGAGGTGCGCATATAAATAGAGATTATCCTAAGATAATGTTTTGTTCTATAAATTGCATACCAACAAAAGTTTCAACGTACATTTTATATGACTTTTACGAAACTAAACTTGGAAAAAGTTGACAGTGATTTTTTCTTGGCACAGGCAAAAGAAGTTCTTTTATTTTCGCTTCACTATCCTTAAATTCTTGGCAAGAGACACCGTTATACATTTAAAACGCCATAACTTCAAATAAATAGTCTGTGGTATATCTATGAATATGTGTATATATGAATATATTTTGATCATAAAATATAATGATTAATGATGTATAATTATATACAGCGCAGGAGCTTGCAGCAACATTGCTGCAACATTTGCAATGTCACTGCAATGTTGCAATTTTGCTGCAATATTACTGAAAACATCGGTGCTGTATTATAATAAATATATAACAATAATTTAAAATAATTTTTTTTTGATACGTGCAATTTTTCATATGTAAAAAAAATTCTACATGTGTACAATTCATATTTCGCAATTTATAAAACGATTCATATTTTATTCGCGTATTTTACATTTGTATATTTACTATATTTTTCTAATCTCTCTCTCTCTCTCTCTCTCTCTCTCTCTCTCTCTCTCCCCCCTCCCTCCCCCTCGTGTGTGTGGGGGTGGGTAGGTGAGTGGGTGGGTGTGTGTGTTAAAATCTATTGCATATATTTTATAATTTTTTTTATTTCTCGTTAATAAATCGAGCAATGATTTAATTAAGAAGTCATCTTTAACTGTTGAAGTAAAGTATATCATATAATATACATATATTTTTTATATAGATAAGTAATTGATTTAAAAAATAAACAATATTGAGTAAAAATACAAATTTTATAAACTCCTTGAATTAATACAATGATAATAACAAATAATTAACAGGGCGTTAGGAGTCAACGCTGGATCTTATATTGCGAAAAGCTAAAAAATATTCTATACATTTATTGTATATATGAGGTAGTACGAGGTTTAATCTAAAAATAAATAAAAACAAATAGCTCAAAAAGCCGTTTTGTCGTATTTTGTTATATTTTATACACAGACTTTAGTGATAGTTTATTTAAACCAATAGCACATAGAAAAATATAAGCAGTAAGATGTAAGCAGTAAGTAAATCAACATCTTTTAGGCGTCGTCTACAATCCGAAGACGACGCCTTAAGGCCCGTCTACAATACATAGAGTAAGAAGTAAGAGTAAGAAGTTGACCAATCACAGTCGAATGTGAGAAGAATAATCGACTGTGATTGGTCAATTTCTTACTCTTACTTCTTACTCCGTGTATTGTAGACGGGCCTTTACTGTTAACGTCTTACTGCCTTACGTTTTTTTATGTGCCACAGGCTTTACTCGTATTACGTATGTACATCTGCTTCTGTTAATATTAACGAGCACCATTAAGCCAAGGAAAATCCTAACACGTCTTCCAATGAGTAGTCAAACAGCCTTAAATCTAATTTATATAGAGCTGCTAACTTGCGAAGCTGTTTGTAGCTCAAGGTAGAGTAGTATCTGTCCAATTTTCTCGATGTCGGCTCACTGCTTGGTGATCTAGCTGGAAAACTATGTAATCATATAAATTTATTAACAATTTTAACATATTAACATCTTTATAATATGATGCGTGATGGTAGCATCAAATTATTGAAATTGCTTGTCAATTTAATTCATTGCTAGAATAGTTTTAATTGGGTTTATAGTCCAGAAAAACGATTCAGCGCGCGGTTCGAAAAGACTACAATATGTTATATATGTAAGTACATGTATAGTGTATATTGCTAATTCAAGATTGAATTATTTAAAACAATGAAGATCCAGCTTCGACCGTAATAGGCATCTTAAATTTGTAGTATTGATTGTGTTTCTCACATATGCGGTCTAAAATAAAGATTCTTAATATTGTTTATGTAATCATATGTAATATAAAATGTTTCGCTAATCTAAATGTATCAATATTATTCATTTTGTTGTCATGAGTGCATGTACGTACTTTACGGATGTGACACTTATCCGTTCGAGAATTTCCGTGGCATCCTCGACCAAACTCTCGTACTTGCTTACGAGATTGTAATTAACTATGCATGGTTGACATAGATCATATATCGATCTCCAATGTTCATTCCGAGTTCCATTCTCGGCGTCGTCGGTAACGAAATCAACGAACTCGCGAAACGTCACATCATCACCGTTCCTTAAAGACTCCTCGGTCGCGTTCGGCCTGTACTTCTGCAAAAATGTCATGCAGTTAAATCGCTACTTGTAACTTAATGTTTTCGATATTACGCTATTCATCTCTGTTTGTATACGGAACTTGCCATTAACGGTTAATATGATAAAAGTGGGACAACCTGCACGTGGAATTAATCATAGTCATATTCCAAGTGCGCAATTATACGGTATTTCTAAATTTGATTCAATTATTGTAAATAAACATCTAACATTTTACAATGCTTGAACAAACAAATATTTTCTTTTTAGGTTTCGCGATATAACTAAAATAATTCGATAGATAGAGGAAAAAAAACCTTGGACAAAATAAACTATAAAAACAGTATTAAATTATGTGTCGCTTTATAGGTATTATCATATGATGAATAATATAAACGGTACAGAAGTTTTACTATATTTAGAAAAGCTTATTTTTACCTTGATGATTTTCTTGCCGAAGCGAGTCTGGAAATACCTTGCACTTTTCTCATGTTTGGTCTCTAATTTATTTCGATAGGCCGATAAAAGCCTTTCCAGAGGATGTCGCACAACAATTAACTTGTCGTACGTAGCCAATTTCTTCTCTATCTCGGGCAGAGTGTGATTGTTCAATCGTTGAAAAGTACCCGGGGAATGAGCTTGATCAGCCGGTATTTCTAAAGGATCATTACCAGACCATTTTCCGGTCGCAATCATTAGTACACGCTTCCAATTCGTGCAAGCCACCTGAAAGATGAAATCGCTTCGCCTTAGAACGAGCAACGCGATGTGCGAGCAATTCAATACTTTTTACAAATTATACATTAACATTGTTTGATAATCTCAATAAAAAGACGATAGATTCGGATACCTTTGGTACATAGCAATAGAGCAATTCGTGCAAATCGTCCACAAGGATATTTCGGAACAATTCGGGATTTAACGCGGTGATATCAACCTCGCTATTTTCAAGCTCGCAATTATATTGCAGCCTTTCTTGTCTCTCGACCAAGGCCGATCTGGCCAACGCGTTTGGCCCTGTCCAAGAATAAATGTTTTTGTTCTGCTCGAACAATTTCTTGTCTTCGTCATTTAAATGTACTTGCGTGATTTTCGTGTTTGCGTTTGCAATCGTTTTCCATATAACAATGAATAAAATTATCCTCCACGCTCGACATCCTGTCATCGTTTTCCTTTACTCACCGCGAGCATTGGACTCTCTTGTAGAATTTCGTACAGATTGTAAAACTCTGAATCTGCAAAAAAGAAGAACGGTCCATTTCATGTCCGTTGGAATTATCCATTCCAATGGAACGCTATTACAAAACCGATAGTCCTGTATACTAAACGTTATGCTTTCTCGTACTACTTTTAATTAAATAGACATATCTATTATATGCGACAAGAAATCAATTATGATTATTAATTTATTATTATGTTATTATTGCTCTCAATCGCCCGGAAATTTCTGATTGATAATTGTTTTATTAATTTATTATAAAATATTCTTACGTGAGATATAATATCGATTAAGAACTTTGCACTATAATAAGGTGACAATAATACGGCAATTCAAAATGTTACATATAAGAGTTAAAAAAATTTACCAACATAGTTGTTACCAACGTTACTTGTGTGTACAATGAT